AAAGGTAACTTCTTACAAAATAAAATCTCCGCAGTGATTTGTGAAGAATAGATGTAGGCAGAGATCTATGCACAGCTCCTGCTTTGTGCAGGTGTGTCCTTGGTGCAGGTTGTGTTGAACGAGGTGGCTTTGTGAGTGGCAGCAAAAGGAGAGAAATTTGCTTGGGGTTGTGGAGCTTTTTTGTCACAAGGAGATTTTATTTAACTAGAAAAAGACTAGCCCTAGGTTTATTTAGTAACTGGAAGATGTGGAAACTGGAGAAAAATTGAGGAAATAGTTTGCCATTAAGTTGAAAGGGAAAGTAGAAATTTTACCATTTAGTTAAAAGAGGAAACAATCTCAGAAGTGGAGTGAATACAGAGTTCTCAGATGTTGGGACATTATAAGGAAGTGCTTAAAGTTAGTGTGAATAAAAAAGTTACTATTAAACTCTCTTCCCCATTCTGGAGTTTGGTTTTAGTCTGTGTTTTTATTTTTTCATGTTTAATGTGGTGTTTGCTTTTACTGTCATACAAGATGATGCAGATTCTTTATGCAAATGTCATCTTCAAGCTAATGAATACCAGTAATGTATATACTGGAAGAAGTAGTTACTCTGAGGGCATTTTGATTTTAACTATTCATAAACGTTCTGACAGTGCATGTGTGGGTGCAGGGCAGCATGTGTGAGTGTCCTCTAGTTGTGCTTAACACTTCCTATGTAGTCTGCGTCATTTGTCTCCTTTTATTCTGACTCTGGGCCCTACACTGCCCTGTGTCTGTAATCCCGTGGCTTTTCCTCATAGTTGCTGTGCTGTTTTAGGCAGCTCAATCCCTCCCCCCATCTTCACTTCCCCTCGTTATACCCTTCATTGCAAAGTTACACGCTGGAGTGGATCAGGGAACCGATCCAGGTGCTTCCCCTTCTCTTGGTTGTTCCCTTGCCAGGGAGAGGAGAACGGAGCGTTCTCTGAATGCAGTTTCTCTGGTGCACAGTTTGCTTTCTATGATCCAAAATGAGTTACTTGTGAATTACTTTAATTAAAAACATGAATGCAGTAAAAACATTGGTATGTTTTTATTGATGTTTGAGACTTGCAGTAAAAGTGTGCTATCGGGTTTTTTGTCTTTAGTTGATAAAAGGATGCAGAAGACAGAGATTTATGAGAAGGGATGGGCTGGTTGGATTAGGATTATTTTGGGAAAAGGCTATTAAGAGAGAAACGGAATTGCTTTGGCCATTTTGGAATTAGTACTTCAGCCCTTGCAGTGAGAATTGTTAGTTCATGTCTAAAAAAAGAAAATTACAGCACTTTCTGTCAGTTTTTCTGATAACTTTATAAAACCCTGACATTGTTAAAGGCTCTGATTCTTTCTTGATTATCATTGTTCAGATGTATTAGTGCTTGCTTTCTCTAAGCCAATTTCCCTTGAATCTGTGAATATTCACTGTATTTCAAAAGCTCTGTGCAGTTTTAAATGGCTAAAGAGAAAACTGACAAGCTTGAAAATTAAATTGTAGCGAGGACCTTCTGAAAATGAAAAGAGTTCTCACAAGTCATTCAGACAGAAGTTTATCCTCCTTTAAATTTTGATTTTAATAAATGTATACTCCTTTGTGCATTGGAGATAAATCACACATGCCACTTAATAGTGTCATTTTTATTTTATTTTATAGGCTATTAAAGTGTTATATGTATTTACACAGATTTATTAGAGCAGTTGCTCAGTTTTCAGTTCTTTCATCTGAAAGTAGATACAATGGAAATTTTGGGGCCTGAATGTTTGGCTGCGTTAGGACAGGAGTAAAATGTTGCAGAATTCACTGAAAGCTCTGAGTATCTGCTGAGAAGAAAATGATTTGCTGTTTCCATCAGCTCACTGAAGACATCTGTAAGGAGCTGCATGTTTCATTTCCAGTGGTTGTGTTCAGGAGCTCAGCTTTGCTGTGGGGCTTTGTAGGTCTGTACCCCAGGTACCAGTAAAAGATACCCCCCCCAAAACCCCAAACCAGCTAATGGCACAATCTCTGTGGGAAGGCTGGGAACACAGAATACTAATTTTATTTATTTATTTGTGCTGCCCTTTTCTTGTCTTAGGACCCTCTAATTTTTTACTCTCCTTATTTATTAATTTTCTGATTTATTCCCATACTTGTCCTGTTTCCAAGTACAAAAAACCCCTAGGCATTAGGTGTTAGCCTGTTCCCAAGGCACCCCAAATTCCCAAGAATAATGAGAAAAACTACTGAGTGAAACTTCTTGCAGTTTTATTCTCTAGTGTGAGTGGTAATTTGCTTAATAAAGAAAAGCCGATATGACCAGAACAATTGGTTTGTGAGGTTTTATTTTGTGGGGCTTTGAGGTTTGTTTGTTTGTTTGTGGGTTTTTTGGTTGGCTGTGGTTTGGGGTTTTTTTGTTTGCCCCTATGGTTCATATGGCTTGTTGACGTAGTTAGACTCCCATGAATTTCACGGAGTGTTCTAGAGTGGTTTTTCTTGAGCAGAACTTAATTATATTTTTCATTTTGTTCCCACACCTCCATATACTTAACTGGAGAAAAAAAAAAAAAGAAAACAAACTTCTGTTGCTTATTTTAATGCTTCAGTAATTTTAAAATTTTTATTTAATACCAACTCTGTTTAAAATGAGTGTGATCTTGAGTCATATATATGGGTCTGGTTTTAGCTTGTGCTGAATTCTGTCTTAATGGATTCCCATTTGCTCTCAGCCTGTTTTTCTTTGACTGTAATGTCCTTGTTGGCCAAAGCAGATGTGTACAGGTCATGTAGAACACTGCAACCAAAACCCTGTTATGGCCATGTAACAACAGAGATTTTATTGATACCTTTTACAGCTTTTCAAGGTCTGTGGTGTATTATAGATAGTATAAGAAAGAGTGTAACTTTTAAAAATAATACTTTTGAAATGTAACCAATTTCACTTTTATTTTTTTCCCCTCTTCTTTTCAGCTTGTATTTAGAGTCGGTATTTTGGAAGAAATTGTTAATTAAGTAACTATTGCCTGCTTACTAATAACAGTGAATTCTGAAGTCCATTCTCCTTCTCTGTATTATTTGAACACATGTAGTCAAGAAAGCAGTCACAAGGACTTTTTTTCCCCAGGCCTTTTATCTTCTGTAGGGCTGTAACCTTAGAAGGGTCTTGAAGAAGTGCTCTTTTTTGTAATGGGTGAAGGCTAATGAGTTTCTCTGGCTCCCTGGCTCATCTTAGGTTTCAGCTCTGCCTGCTCTGAGTGTCTGAATATGTGAGAGAAACCTGGCCAGTGGAATGGCTTTAGGATGACTTGGTCTGGGGACTTTCAGTGTTCTGGAGGTGTCTGGGGAGGATTCTTCTCCCATGTAGCTCTTGTTGGGGTTCTGCAGGACCGTGTTTCTTGCATCTGCTGTGCCACAGGTGATTGTAGCCTTTGGGACTGCGGGGTGAACAATTCTGATGATGTGACGTGTGGTGTCATAACTATACCATGTTGCCCCCTACACCCTAATTTCCTTTGGACACAGATGTCACAGAACTTGCCCAGTCCTAATGAATATGAGACTGGTGTGTGCTGCCCAAGAGCATCAATTAAACTTTACCAAGATTTTGGTGGTTCTTTGCAGGATGCAGTTCGCTACCTTTTGAATCCTGTCACTGCTACAGTGCTGTAAACAGAGAAAGGTTGAATAAACCGTGTCATCTTTATTTGTACTGCAGTCCATGTTTATTCTTTTCAGTGTTTAAGCACTGTTTTTAATTAAATTTAAGCACTGTTTTTAATTAAATTTAAGCACTGTGTTTAATTAAAACAGATTCATGGTACTTAAACCTTAAAACTACTTAAAACTACCATACAATTACTAAGAGCTTTCAGCGTTTACCAAGTATTACCTTGACATATTCTTGTGTCAGCAGTAAGAAATTCCATCTTAGATTGGCTTTTTACTGGTATGTCCAAGTTTTAAGAAATAAGCATCAATTTTTACTATTAAAATGTTTCTAGTTGAGATCAACAAAATTTTTCATTTGCATATTGTATTATGACTCAGAAGGTCATTTGGAGGATTTTGGTGCTGAGGCAGGCATTGATGTCTTAAAAAAAAAAAGACAGATCAAAGGAAGTGAAGTGCTCCCCAGTCTGAGAGCAAGCAAACTTGCAGAATAAAAATATGTATTGCATTCCTGTAACTTTCTGCTATTGTTAGCCTCTTGTGTGCATGAACATTGGAGAAAGGAAGCTGTCTGTGTATTCTTTTGATGCATTTGGTAAACTAACCAGCCACTAGGATGCTGCCATTCCTTTTATTATTGTATTGAGTGTTTTTATCTACTGAGAATTAAGAAAACAGAGCAAAAGTAGTGAATAGTACATTCTCCTTACTTCATTGGTCAAGCACATACTATTTTTTGTGAAAGTGTTCCTATTGATGCATGTTATGTGTTCATAGTACAGCAAAAAAATCCTCATTGTGTTTCAATGCAACTGATTTTGCTGTGAAAAGTGTCAACGTGGGGGTAATGATTGAATCTTAAAACTTGTTTGTGGAATTATAGTCTTGCTGTGTATTCATATATATGTATTCATGTATATTCATGTAGGGTTATAATTGACGCAGTGTTTTTAGAAATATAAATTAATCAAGCTTGATGTGTTTGTCAGTTCTTTCATCCTTCTTTGGAGTGTAAGTTAACAGTGGTGAACGCCAGCCTCCAAGTAGTGGTATGTTGTAAAATTAAGTCTTCAGTGCTGTTGTGTTTGCATTCTCCACTTAAGCCTGGACTTTCTTGGTGAACTTTATTTTCCTAATAGCCAGTGGTGACTAAATTTCTTCTACAGTATGTTGAAGATCTCAAACACACAGCAGTAACACGGTTCCCATAAGCGGTTCGTATGTTAATGTGAACTCTGTTTTACAAAAATTGTACGAATGCTGCTTTCCTTTGAAACTGATCTTCAAAAAGAAATCCTGTTTTGTATAATAAGATGCCAGACTCACAAAGATTTCCTTTCTTGTTTCATAGACGTTCCATCTTCAGAGCAGCCTGAACTGTTCCTAAAGAAACTTCAACAGTGCTGTGTCATTTTTGACTTCATGGACACGCTTTCAGACCTTAAAATGAAAGAATACAAGCGCTCCACTCTTAATGAACTGGTGGACTACATTACAATAAGCAGAGGCTGTTTGACAGAGCAGACTTACCCTGAAGTAGTTAGAATGGTGAGTTCCTTCTTTCTCATGGTCTCTTTAAATCCACTTGCAGTTCTAGTTATGTGTTGTGGGCGAAATTGAACCTGGAGTAGGTGGATTAAATGAGGCCTTTGGTTTGTATTTGCTGCTAGACATCACTTGGGGATAATTCTCCAGAGACAAAAATGTTAATTTTTATATATTCTTAATTAAAGCCAAGGAGATGATGGTTATTTATAATCACAAACCTATGAAAAGAAACCTGGATTGTTTCCTGATGGAGAAAACCAGCAGCCATAAAATGGAAGACCGTCATGTTTCCACCCACCTGCCTTCCCTCTCCTCCCCAGTATAAATAATGGAATAATTTTTGCAAGTTTCTTATCTTTCTTTGAACCTTCTCCAAGCTCTTGAGTGTCTGCTTTAGGCAGAGATAGCTTGAAGTGTGCATAGATAATAATTTTAAAATAATAAATGCTAAAGATATTGTATAGGATCAGTGTGAAAATTTCCTGGTTGTGGTGTGTGGATTTATTAGCAGCTGTTGTTAGAGTGAGCAAGATTACTCAGCAATAAAGCCATACCTTGTATATAGAAATGGTGAGATAATAGTTTTTCAGTGTAAAAATGGAAACAGTACCAGATGCTACATGGTGAAGGTTCATTGGATTGGTAAAACCAATCACTGCTTTAAAGTGTTTGTTCTGCACTACCATACAGAACCCTTAAAACCCATTACCTAAATGAGAAGGCAATTAGTTAAATATAGATTTGGTGATGTTGGTTTCCTAATGATGCTGTGTGATCATGGAATCCACTGGCTATGTGAAAGAAAAACATGAATAGATTTTACACTGCATTATATATGCTCCTCACTTCTTTTCTGACACGCAGATACATGCTGTGTTGCTCGTCTGTAATACTTAAAAATAGCTGTAAATTGTGACAGAACCACCAAGCAGTTAATCATGAAAGGGAAAAAAACAGAACTTAAGGGTATATGGAAAAATCTTAATATGGCTTCTCTGTGTGTGTGCATTGTCAGAAAGCCTATAATTATGTGATCAGATTCTTCCCCTTCTCCCTCACCCTCCCTTTCCTGCTTCTGCACTGGACCAATCTTCTGAATGAAGTGCTTTTCAGTCTGTTATGTTATTTGTTCAGCATGTGGTCTCATGCACCATTCAAATACTGTCAGAATACAGAATGACTAGTTCTTTGCTCAGTTCTTCAGCTGGTGCTGCATCTAAATGGTTTGCCAATGTTTTAATCTCCTGTGTATCCCTTGTGATGAACAAAGTGTATCACCCCCTTTGCACAGACAGGACAGTGATGCACAGATAACTTCAGAAAAATGGGGGACTTTTTCACTTACCTCTTCAGAGAATTTGATAGTCTTTTTAGCATTTCTGTTACTGAGGTTTTGTTCTCAGGTTGACTTTGTTTATAGTTGTTTACTGTAGATAAATCTGTTGAATAAAAACTCTGCAAGTTAGTGTTGTCTTAGTTTGGGCCCCAAGAAACAACAAGAATTTGATTGGTAACTGCTCATAAAGTTCAATTTGAATCATAAATTGTAGTCTGTGAAACAATCTGATCCTGAACTGTGAAAGAAATGCAAAACCCCTTGGGTAGTATGTCCTACACTGTCCCTGTAGTCACTTGTGTTAATTCACACAACAGGTTTTATCTTAAGGAAATGATGCATTGCCTAAAGAGTTTGAAAAGAATGGTTTTAAATAATTTCCTTAAATATAGTCTATGTCTATGATATGGAGGAGTCACTGGAAATAAAGATACAACCTGAATATGTCCAGTGGATTTTGTTGATATATGCTAATGGAGCTTCAGGAATTCAGTTTCAACTTAACTCATTTTTGATGGAAAACTGTGCTTTCTTCCTTTCATTGCATCATTCCCCTCTTCAATTCTACCCACTTCCCCACTTCCTTCTACCTTGCATTTGGGCTCTGGTGCTAAACCCAAGCTGTGTTTCCTCTTCATTGCCATGGTACCAAAGCAGGGCAGGACTGCGACTATTCTCAAGTCCTGTGTCTGGCTACCCAGTGACCCTGACTGCCCAAACCTGTGGATTTTTACAAATAAAAAGATGCTTAAGTATTTAGGGAAGGGGACATGCTTTTTCCTAAAGAATTTTCTGAGGGTGTTGTAGCATTTAGATTTTGTAAGAAGCTCTGGCTTGCAACAGCCACCTGTGCTTTGATGAAGGTGTCAGCTCTTGGACAGCTGGAGTCACCCGGTTGTGCCTGTGGTTTTGGTGCATGTGCTGCTGGAAAAAACACTTTGGTGGTTGTATTCCGTGTGAGCAGGATGCTGTGCTCTGGAATTGAATTTATGTGAGTGAATCCATAGCAGATGCATGACTGATTTTTGTCGATCATCCCAATGAATGCTAATGCAGCATTTCTACTAAACCACATCACCAGGACCTTTGTGGCTTGCAGGTTTTTTGTATTTTGCAGGTATAGGCTATCTGGTAAAAATGCTTTTTCCCCCTCCTTATCTTTGCCTATAAAAGCAAAACTTGTCCAGCATTCTGATGCTGGACATGGGCTCTAGAGGGAAAGGTAGGGCTTGTGATATTATACAAAGTAAGTTTTCAGCACATACTGCCTGATCAAGAGACAACATTATTCACTTTGTCCTGTAGCCTTGTGTTTGGTGTAACCTGTTCTTTGCAGTAAGTGCAATTCTTGTTTCAAGCAGATTTGTGCCCATGATCTGAGACAGAATTAACTGTGCCCAGTTGACTTTGTGAGTGCAACTGCTGCCTTTGTCTGCTCTTGGGGATTTTCACCAGGGTCTCCAACTGTGTTCACAAAAGAGCTGTCACGTTGACAATCTCAGACCTGTCATGACAGTGAAGAAAACAGCAGTATCAATGTCCTGACCAAATTAGTGTCCCCACTGACTGCCTGCCACAATTGTCACGGGAGTGTTTTGATTGAAAGACCAGCATCTTAAAACTGATCAAAACGGAGCCCAGGTGTTCTTTGTCCCTTTGGAAGGTCTATTCCCTTTATGTGTAGTGTTTATGAGTCTAGGAATTAATATTTCCTGCTTGACCCTTTGAGCTACTGTGATTTGGAGGTGAAGGGAAAAAAAAGAAGTTCTTTTGTGAGTTTTGGTATCATTTAAGGTCTGGAAAAAAAAAGGGCCACCAGTCTGAAATTTGATATTTTTAAAGTTACTGATATTTGTAGAGAAGGATTAATGGCTAATGGATTTTCTCATCTTACTTTTTTGAACATTTTAGATAATTAATAACTGTGGAAGAGGCTTTTTTGTTTTGAGGTTTTATAACGTACATGTATGTTAGTGATCTCTGTTTGTGACCCGACAGGAATTTGGCTCTGTAGATACTGGGCTAGAAAAAGATTGCCAGTAAAATTCTTCAGAAGATCTGAGACTTTTAATTGCTTCTAAAATGTGGTGGTGTTTTGACATAAGGGTTTGAAAAACAGTCATTTGTGGTAGCCAGCATAACTCCTGGGTATTTTTTATGCCAACCATCTGAAATGCATGCCATTAAAGCCTTTATCTGTTTTTGCAGTATCACATATTTTCATCTTGTTCTCTTGAGCATATGATATGATGTTGTATATAGCTAAATGTGAAATCACTTGGCTCTTTGCCAACCTGTGTGCAAATCTGCTTCTTTAAACCTCTCTGTTTAGCTTGATACAGTGTTTGGCATGTTAATTGTTATTTAAAAAAAAAAAAAAACAACAAAATAAAATTGAATTTCCTAATGGCCACCAAAGCAAGTTGCAGTGGCCTCGTCACTGTCATCAATATCAGTTGATGGGAAGAGGGATTGGGATTTGTGTTAATGGCCGTGAGCTGGAGAGATTTATTCAGGAGGGCATTGCTCAGCACGCTTCCCCTGCAGCTTAATGTGTTGTTCAGAAGGGCAGATGACATTGCTTAGAATTAGGTAAGTCTCAGGAAAAAAGGCCCTTGCCAATTAAGCCACACTCTGCTAGGAAGGAAATAGCAGTATTAGAGCTTTATGAGCCAATAATTGGACACTTAATCTAAAATTTGTTCTTGTCCAAGCAAAATGTGGAGGCTTAAACTAATGGTACTGATTTTGCTGGTAGATTAAGCAATGGTAGTTGAATGAAATAAATGTTTGTTATTATCTGTGGTATCCTAAAGGGTGTCTGTAGTAGAGCTGTTTTGTGTTTTCTGGGTGTTAAGACATAGATTGAGGAAACTGATTTATTTCATTTAAAAAATTGGATGGGAAAAATTGACAAGCTGTTAAACTGAGAAATCTGGATGAATTGTTGGTGAGCAACCTTTCAGCTCTCCTACTTGATTCTTCAAAAACTGTAAACCCAAGCCCTGACATTTACTGGGGATGTTTACAGAACATCCAGGAGTGATTGCTAGCCCGTAGGAGATGGCGAATGAAACTCTTTTGGGATACACCTTTTAGAATGGTTCTGAATTGTTCTCCACTCTTCTAAGTGCTGAAATGCTTTTGGCTTCCCGTTGTCATCTTTATCTTTTCTGTAACGACAAATCAAGTAAAATAGGACTGTAATTTCTCTATAGCCAAAGTGAAACATCACATGTCATGAGGTGTAGAAACTATGTTGAGCAACACAGGGAAAGAAACTTGTTTAAATCAATACCTAAATAAACACAAAAAAGTGAGTTTTAAAGGTCAGATTCTGGTTTTCTTTTTTTTTTTGCTTTTATCTCTCCTTTCTACTGGCATAAATCTAGAGGGATTGCATTCCTTTTACTGCAGGTTTGTCTTAACAGATGTGAGGGCAGAGCCTGTTCAGGAGTTTGTTTGTGACAGACCTGTTAAACATAAAAAATATGTTGTTAAGCCATGATTTTTTTAGCATGTTAAGGACCCTATTTTTAGGAAGTGTTCTGGCTGTAGACTTCATAGGCATTATGAATCTTTTTATTTTTTATAGCTTTAGCTGTATCTTATGACTAAGTATGACATCTTGGTTGCTAAATGTTCATCCTGTTTAGGGTTTTCT